ACTTCATAAGCACGCTGCTCACTACTTGTATCTCTCATATCCGTTAATAAATGGACTTCAGTGTTACCCGGTGTTTCCCTGCCTTCTTCAGGGAACACTTGGAACCTTCAAACTCCACTCGCGTCCACTTGGAGGATGAATGGTTTAGAATGGTGTGGACTTCTGTGACCAGGGTGAGACGACAGCAGTATTTTGAGGTGAAAGCTTCATCACAGCCAGGAGTCCACTTAAATAAGGTTTTGGCCTGGATAAGTTAGTAAAGGGGGCAGTAATGGAGGAGAAGTTACTGCAGAATCGCCTGTAGAAGTCTGACATTCCTAGAACGCGCATGAGGGCTTTCCTCACAGTAGGTGTTAGGAGGGACAGAATGGCTTCCACATTGGCGTCCTTCGGTGTCGTCTGGTCCCCGCCGACGACATGTCCCAAATACATCCCGGTGGCATTCCCAAAAGTGGACTTGGCAAAGTTGATGGTGAAGCCCACGTCTGCAATTGATCGAACAAGGCCTGAAGCCGAACAAGAAGTTCCAGGCAGCTTTCAGAAATAATTACAAGGTCGTCAATGTACTTACATACTGGTTATATATTAAAATGTGTGCTGTATATTCATTTTGTATCAGTCACTGTTGCAAGAGCAGTTTTCTATGAACCAAGCATAAATGAAAGGTGTATGTATTTTATTATAATTAGTTTACTGTTTTGCATTTAATGTGAATTATTTTGTTTTTTTGTAGTTCCCGATATTTTTTATTCACATAATGTAATGTATTTGTATAAAGACGTTTTGAGTTTATATTTTGGTTGTGAAAGATGTCCTGTTGTGGCCCTTCTAGATGCTCTCTCTCTCCCCAGGCAGACACAGGGTGTCTTATTTCATTTATTGTGTATCTCATGTTTTAGTATCAATTTGCTCACCAGTGTTAAGGGTGAATGTTTGATGATATCTTGTGAATGGAGGGAAAGCCATATTATGAAATGAAGGCAGGTAAGCTATAAAATTAGTTGGGTTACAGGACCATGCTGTATTGTTGTCTGTACTCTTGTTTATTGTAAATATATTAAGTTTAGCTGTTACAATCTGGTATTACTTCGAAGTCCTTGGATGAATGTTCACAATGTAATTGTATGGAAATGTCATCTTCAACTGTCAGCTGGAGGTAGCAAAGTTTTGTCTACATGATTCTGGTCTGTTAACCAAAGCTGTAATTTCAGAACTTGAGTCTGATTAATGGGCCTAGGGGTTGAAGCACTGCTGGAAGAGGAGGAATATTCAGTAGTGGCCGTGACATGAACCACTAGAGTTCCTACTAAATTTTTCCCCAAATCAAACTTACACCCTTAATAGGAAGTTCTTTCTCTTTGATGCCCACTTTTACTTCGCCCTTGACAATATTACAATCCAAAAATATTTTGGCTAGGTTTAATAAAGGTTGAGCAGACAAGTCTTGTAAATTCACTTTCTCTCCTGTATACCCTCTCTCAATTCCAGGGAGACTTTCTTTGAATAAGATTCTTTGAGCAGCCCCCATGTCTCTAAGAATTGTAATAGGAAAAGATGTACTGTTCTTGGCAAGATCAATTTAACTCCGCATTTTAAAATCAATAAAAGGGACTTTCTGAGATGCGAGTGTGTTAACATTGGCAACAGGTTCTAGGTTCTTTAATGTTTCTCCAGATTTTGCCTGGGAAGTGTTAGTCGAGCTCTTACTTTGGCCTGCTTGGGCTGCGACTTTACATTTAGGATCACGACACTTGTCTATAAAAAAGGGGTTCTGACCGCCACTATTTGATTTACCACCAACTGAACCAAGGCGATCACTAGAGGAGGACTTTATATTGGATGGCTTATTTCTATCTCCCTTCGCAAATGATCTCTGCAATAAAGAGAAAGAATCGGTTAATTGTGCAGCTTTTATGAGTTCTGGTTCTCCTTTCTCCTGTACGTGCATCAAGATATTAAAAGGTAGTTCCGTTTCCAGTCTTCTAGTACAATTAGGTTAATCAATTCTAGTAACGTGGTTGTTTGAGTCGCTTCCAGCCATTTTGTAAACATTCTAAGTTTATTATTAGCGAATTCTACGTATGTACTGGCAAGGGGCTTGGTGTATGATCTAAATCGCTGTCTATATCCATCTGGAGTTATCGAGTAAGCGTCAAGGATATTCTTCTTGATAAATTCATATTCGTCTACCTTATGCAAGTTTGAAAATATGAGGTCAGCTTTGGGCCATTTTAAATGTTCTGCAATTTTCTCAAATTTTCGGAAGGCACCGTCAGGGTGGGAACTAATGAAATACTCTTGGCTAAGTTGAAAGAACTACGTTTATCATCTACTTTGACTTTTTGTTTTCTACTTCAACCTTCTCTCGCTCTAATTGCATTTTCGTGTGTTTAAGTTCGAGCTGAAGTTATAAGTCTTTAACTTTGATAGCGAGTTGAATTTTGAGTTCGTGTTCTTTTTGTAGTTGCAATTGATCAAGTTGAAAACGTCTTTCTATTTCTTTTTCCTGAAGTTCGGCTCTCAACTTTTCTCTCTCAATTTCAAGTCATTCAGCGGACCATGAAGTGGGTGATCAAACGCTAGTCAAGCTTGTTACGTCATCCTTATCATTAACTTGAAATAGGAGTTAAAACGTCAATGGCAGTTTCTTCAAGAATTCCTTTTGACACTAACTCCTCAATTATGGTATTTTTAAGTACTTCTTTAGCCATTGAACTGATGAACGGAATGATAAAAACTTTAGCAATATATTTCCAATCATCCTTTTTGATTACTTGATCTTTAAGTTTGTCGCGAGGAGTTTTCACAAAAATCCTTTAATCTCAATTGTACAGAGGCTAGTTTGAAATTAACCCTGAACAGCTAATGATGCTAATTTCATAAAATAAAGAGGTGTTACCGCTTACCAGCCAGGAGGGTAAAGTATTCAAATTTATGGGACAATTTAAAGATGAAGTCAATACTTACACTCGATAACTGGGACTATGAAACGACAAATGTTTCAGTAACTTTGTAGTGAGTAACAATTGAGTCAGGTTATTACATTAAAGAAATTGCAGTCAATTTCATAAATGCAAGTAAATTACTGGAAAGAGCAAAGAAACAAGGCAGAATGGTGATAGCAAGGCCAACCTCCAGCTTTTGTGCTATCTTGCTATACCTGACCAAGGTTACAACACGAGAACAATCCCAAGGAATATAAGAAGAATTGAGAAAAGGGCTACGGCATAAAAGACGATGGTGGTGATTGTTAAGGTCTACAGAGACAATGAAATAAGGTCTTCTCAACTTTTAACTTAAGGATGGAATAAAACCTCAAAAAACAAGTTAGGCATAAAACGTAGAGCGAGTCTTTCACGGCATAGAAAGCGGATTCGGATATATTCCTTAACGACAGAAAACTTGAACCTTATGACTCGCTTCTGCCAATCGCAAATATATATATTCTGTATGAAATATTGCACAATAAATTCTTTAAATAACTTTAAAATCAGGTGGAGCAGTATTATATTGAATAAAAGGGATAAAAGAGTTCAAGAAGTAGAAAATGGAGTGATACCACTGGTGAATATCATAGAAAATGCACTGTTGAAGATGGTAACTATTATAATATATATAATTTTAAAATGTCTGACAAAATAACAACAAATAAAGAATTAACAGTGAAGGACTCACCGAAAGTTGATGTATAATGGCGTGTAGATGCTTTTGACAAAGGCTCTATAGTGAAAGTCATATGAAAGGCACCTTCCCCCTTTTCATCAGAAAACTCCAATACTTTTGTATAGTAAAAATTAATTACGATTGACCTCAGAATATCCCATAATATCAATCTTCATGTCTTCAAATGGCCTCAAAATGCCCATAATATTGGTCAGATTTAAAAAAAAATATCTAGGGAACTAATAGCTACCCCCAGATGGATGGACTCACTTTGCTGGCCAGGTTCCCCAACCTGAAACGTCTTGGAACAAGACGGAATGATTGCCTTTTTTTTCTCTTTTTTTTTGGCACCCCCTTACATCCTGTGCAAGGTGAAGAGCAGAAGCGCTTACAGTGCTCATCTGGGAAGCATGCTAAGTTCATGCTTGCCTTTATGTTTCATGAGTTAAGGGCGTAGAAGCCTGAAGAGTTAGAGGTTTTTGTCAGCAAGTTATTGAAAGCTCCAACAACTTTCCCTGAATACGAATTCGCAACTTTTCAATTTACAATAGGTACCTACGTTACTGCTAGGTGAACAGGGACCAAGGGGGGCCCGGAAATCGAACCCGTGACATCTCGCTTGCGAGGCAAGAGCGGTACCGCTCTACCACCGGCGCCCAATGATTTGTGTTCCTAGTAAACGTCATCCTCTCTTGCCAACTCATCATAAAGCAGTATGGCTAAACTATCAATTATAAAATGAAGGAAATCAAATAAAATTCCTTCATAATTATTCTGTCATTTTTATTTTGCATTTAACCCCCAAAAAGGCCTAATTAACAATTTTGGTATTACTCAGAAGGAGCCACCGTAGCCGGTACAGTGACGTCACAGTCTACCGTCTACGTCATCGAATTTCATAATATTACCCTTTAGCTGACGAATTTCCGCCAAACGCCACACTCCCTGCTTCCCACCACACTTCCGGCTTCCCTAGAAAGACGAAGAGTGCGGGAAGATATGATAGAAGTATTCAAGTGGGTGAAAGGAATCAATAAAGGGGATATAGATAAAGTTCTTATAATATCCGAGCAGGATAGGACTCGAAGCAACGGATTTAAGTTGGATAAGTTTAGGTTTAGGAGGGAGATAGGAAGGAACTGGTTCACAAATAGGGTGGTGGACGAGTGGAACAAGCTTAGCAACTATGTAGTAAGTGCTGGAACGCGGGAAAGTTTCAAAAGGAGACTGGATAGATTCATGGATGACAGAGTGGTAGTAACTCTCGACAGGAGCTGCCATGAACAGGCCAACCGGCCTATTGCAGACTCCTTATTTTCTTATGTTCTTATGCTCTTATGAAGCCAACAAAGCTGAAGGAGCACCTCACGTCTGTCCATCCTGAAAATGCATCGGACAGTGTTGATCTATTTCGTGCAAAGAAGGCTCGATTTGAGAAAGCTGGAACTTTACCAAAACTTGGATTTGCCCCAACACAAAAGCCTTGTCTTGAAGCATCCTACAAGGTTGGTTATCGCATTGCCAAGGAAAAAAACCCACATACGATTGGAGAGACCTTGGTAAAGCCATGTGCCCTGGAAATGGTCGAGCTGGTTTGTGGTTTGGAGCAGAGAAAGAAAATTGCAGCAGAGCCTTTGTCAAATGACGTCATCCACTCTAGAATTGTTGACATTTCTTCTAACATTCTGAAGCAAGTAACGAAAGAATTGGCAGCTACGCCATTTCCGTTCAGCATGCAACTGGATGAAACTACTGACGTCTCTCAGTGCAGCCCGCTCCTGGCTTTCGTCCGTTATATGCTTGCTGATGCCATCAAAGAAGAATTCCTATTTTGTGAGCCCCTTTTGGAAACTACAAAGGCCAGCGACATCTTAGAAATGGTGAATAGTTTATTTGCCAAGCAAAACTTCGATTGGAAGAAAAATCTTGGTACTCTGTGCACAGACGGAGCATCTCCGATGCTTGGCAACACATCTGGTTTTGCTGCTTTGGTGAAGAAAGAAGCTTCTCAGGTCATCATGACCCATTGTTTTGTACATCGGCATGCATTGGCATCAAAGAATCTGGCAGCAATTCTGAAAGAAGTCTTGTCTACTGGCGTGAAAGTCGTCAACTTCATCAGAGCCAGGGCTGTGAACCATTGCGTTTTCAAGAGGTTTTGTCAAGAAATGGGAGCAGAATATGAAGTTCTTCTCTACCACACAGAAGTTCGCTGGCTTTCAAGACGACAAATCTTGAAGCGCTTGACTGAACTTCGAGCAGAAGTTTCACTTTTATTGAGAGAAAAAGAAAGCCCACTCTCAGAACAGTTTAGCAGTGAGGTGTTCATTCATGGCTTGGCCTACTTGGCGGATATTTTTGGCCATATGAATGAGGTTAATCTTGCGATTCAAGGCCCTGGAGTCATCATTATGGATGCTGCTGAAAGACTGCAAGCTTTTCTGGCCAAGCTGCCACTGTGGAAGAGGAGTTTGGAGGCAGACAACTATGCAAACTTTCCAATGTTAGAGGAAGTGCTTCTGGAGGATAGAATCGAGAGTGACGAGGCCCTGTCAATTTCTCTGCAGGCAGAATTCTGCAGACGTCTGGATATTCTGCAGAACTCTTTCGAAGGTTACTTCTGCTCAGGTGACCTTAAAGTTGAAGCATGGATTCGTAATCCTTTCCTTGCCGACATAGACTGTATCAGTGATAAACATAAGAACATAAGAAAATAAGGAGTCTGCAATAGGCCGGTTGGCCTGTGCATGGCAGCTCCTGTCGAGAGTTACTACCACTCTCTATCATCCATGAATCTATCTAGCCTCCTTTTAAAACTTTCCAGCGTTCCAGCACTTACTACCTGAAGACAAAGGAAATGTTACGAAATGAATTCAACTCGAAGAGCCTTGGAGAATTCTGGTGTGCGTTCACACAAGCCTACCCTCGTCTGGTAAAGTGAGCTATGGGTGCTCTGATTCCGTTTGCTACTACATACCTTTGTGAGTCATGGTTTTCAGCACTTGTTTCTATCAAAACGAAAAGTCGAAATAAATTGGATGTCAAAGATGACATGCGTGTTACCTTGTCAAAGACCACTCCACAGTTTCATCTTCTTATTCAAGCCAAACAACAACAACCTTCTCATTGAAATGAACTTTTGAGCAGAATTAAAGTTTTGTGTTGTTTAATTTGCACAAGATGATTGAATTTGATTTTTGTATGGAGTGGCCATTAATTTTTGCATAAAATTAAGTGTGAAACATAATTCTTTGTTAAGATTGTTTACTTTATTCATACTTTGTGTATGTCATACACTGTATGAGGCTATGAATTTTCAATAAAATAAAGTATATTCATTGAATGCAAAGTTGTGTTTATGTGCTTATGTGCATTTTTCTAAGGAGGCGGTCCATAGCTTTCACCAGATTCTGAAAGGGGTCCGTGACTCAAAAAAGGTTAAGAACCACTGGTACTCTAGACGTTTTGCTACTTCAAATTCTTCTACTAAGTCAGTGGGAATGGGGGCTGGTAGGTAAGCAGGGAGATTGGTTGTGTCAAACCGGGGGGCCGTTTGGAATATAGTTGCGAAATGGTTGTTTGATTGCTCAGTTACGTCACCATAAGTGAGATGACTAAGGAAGGGGATTGGATATGCCTTATTGTTTGGTTCTTTAAACTTACCATACCACTGACTAATATTCGTCTGCTTCAGGTGTTGCAACTTGGTTGGGTAGTGAGACTTCCTTGTAGCGATTATTTCACAGATGACTTGGTTGCATGTCATGTGTGTGTGTGTGTGTGTGCCACCTCATAGTATCTTACCTTGGCATAAAACAGTTAAGCCGATGTTACGCACACTAAAACTGGATGACTCAGTGCACATCGCCCTACCCTGAACCACAGTGGATTAGTGGGGAGAGAGAGTGTGTGTGTGTTTATACTGTATATACTTGTATCATTTACTGAGGGATGGGAGCACCAGCACAGGGAAGCCAAGGGTAGGGATTACTGCCTCGGATAACTCCTGCAGGATGTACCTGGTACTGTTGTAATTACTGGTTGTATTATAATTGCAGGTAGTGGGGCAATGAATTTTCAATAAAATAAAGTATATTCATTGCATGCAAAGTTGTGTTTATGTGCTTATGTGCATTTTTGGGGGGAGGGGGTCCATAGCTTTCACCCGATTCTCAAAGGGGTCCGCAACTCAAAAAAGGTTAAGAACCGCTGCTCTAGAACACTGTCACCTTACCTCGGCGATACGATTACCAGCAGGAAAGTTTTATGTATTTGGATATAATTTTATAGTTACTAAAACATTTGAAGTTAGCGCTGACCCTTACTATATTAAATGCGGTGGAGCTTAGTTCTTAGTACCATTACTCTAATACACCAGTATGAGTCAGAAAGTATTGTAATCACTGGCAACTGACAATAACCTTCAGGTGGTTTTCAAAGTACTAAATTTGAACACGAACTTTGTTTTTGGTAATTTGAAATAATCATGTTGCTTGTGTTAAGGTCATTGACGTACAGGTGTGTTATTACAACCTTACTCTTGATTATATCCGGGAAGGGGCCTTTTTTTATGAAAAGGTTAAGTGACGTCGTTAGCTGAAACCACAAAATAAATAGGAATTTCAAACAAAATTTGACCCATGTTTAGTTAAAACATCAAAACATCGACGTTTTTAATTTAACAGACTGTAAGATAACAGCTTCTTTTTCTTCACCGTAATTGTGTGTCAAGTGTTTGCATTATAATAGCCATGTGGTGCCATTACTCATCCCTGGGAGAAAAAACTGTTTGTAAAGCGCCGAGGTTGGGTGGACGAACATCTGCTGTCACTCGCCCACACATTTTACACCCGCGTTTCATATTACAACCACGTTGTTTTGTAATCTTGAACTAACATTGCATTATTAAACATTGTTATGTGTATCCGCGTTTCACGTTACAGGGGGCGCTGATTTTCAAATCTTGAGGTAACAGAGGGATTTTAAACGATATTTTTGTGCGGGAAGAGTCGCTGTCAGAGCTTAGCGACCATAATAAACATATAACACTCATTGTTTTACTTACATGTCTGTTTATGCCTCACGTTAAACACCTTCCCGATCATCAAAGGTTGCCTCCACCCCCAGTTGGATTAGAGTATTAAAGAAGCTTGTGTTGAAATCCTGCGTTTTGTTGTTGTATCACAAACTCTGTAATTAAGATATAATTAAAAAAAACGGTCCTCGGTACACCAGTTGTATGAAGTCGTCCGCGCGGGTCCACTCGGCGAAGCACACCGCCTTTCACCACACAAGCAGGCGGGGATCATTAAGATTGTTCACTGCAATGCTTCCTTTGAAGTTAAACTGGGTCGCTGTAGAGGTCATCGTGGGTTGTTACTATGCGAATTAATTGTTTAGATGGTCATTAAAATAATGACGAGCTGACACGGGTGAAGGGACACATTTAGTATGATATCTAATGCACAAAGGTCTGCCCTTCATAGTAAGGGGACATACTACCATTAGAGCTGAGGAAATTATTCAGAACAAAACAAGAGTCGAGAAAGTAAAATGATAACTTAGATATAAAAATCACAAAGTTCATTAAGTGTTGAATTTGAGGTTTGCATTCTAAATAATCTCACGCCTTCCTAAGTAGCCAAAACTGCCACTTAATAAGTCAAGAACACGTACACATTTATGCCTCTTAAGAAAAAGTCTTTTGTAAATAATAAATCAATATTCACCAAATGGATCATTCAATAACAAGTACAAGGACTAAGTATGAATTTATACACTGTGTTGTGAGATAATACAGTGACAGTAAACAACCCTGGGGTAACAAGTGAGATTAAACAACCCTGGGGTAACAATACACTGACAGTAAACAACCCTGGGGTAACAAGTGACAGTAAACAACCTGGGGTAACAAGATAGTGACAGTAAACAACCCCGGGGATACAAGACAGTGACAGTAAGCAACCCTGGGGTAACAAGACAGTGACAGTAGACAACCTGGGGCAACAAGACAGTGACAGTAAGCAACCCTGGGGTTACAAGTGACAGTGAACAACCCTGGGGTAACAAGACAGTGAAAGCAAACAACCCTGGAGCAACAAGTGATAGTAAACAACCCTGGGTAACAAGTGAGATTAAACAACCCTGGGGTAACAATACACTGACAGTAAACAACCCTGGGGTAACAAGTGACAGTAAACAACCTGGGGTAACAAGATAGTGACAGTAAACAACCCCGGGGATACAAGACAGTGACAGTAAGCAACCCTGGGGTAACAAGACAGTGACAGTAGACAACCTGGGGCAACAAGACAGTGACAGTAAGCAACCCTGGGGTTACAAGTGACAGTGAACAACCCTGGGGTAACAAGACAGTGAAAGCAAACAACCCTGGAGCAACAAGTGATAGTAAACAACCCTGGGTAACAAGTGAGATTAAACAACCCTGGGGTAACAATACACTGACAGTAAACAACCCTGGGGTAACAAGTGACAGTAAACAACCTGGGGTAACAAGATAGTGACAGTAAACAACCCCGGGGATACAAGACAGTGACAGTAAGCAACCCTGGGGTAACAAGACAGTGACAGTAGACAACCTGGGGCAACAAGACAGTGACAGTAAGCAACCCTGGGGTTACAAGTGACAGTGAACAACCCTGGGGTAACAAGACAGTGAAAGCAAACAACCCTGGAGCAACAAGTGATAGTAAACAACCCTGGGGTAACAAGAGAGTGACAGTAAACAACCCTGGGGTAACAAGTGAGATTAAACAACCCTGGGGTAACAATACACTGACAGTAAACAACCCTGGGGAAACAAGACAGTGACAGTAAACAACCCTGGGGTAACAAGTGAGATTAAACAACCCTGGGGTAACAATACACTGACAGTAAACAACCCTGGGGTAACAAGTGACAGTAAACAACCCTGGGGTAACAAGAAAGTGAAAGCAAACAAACCTGGAGCAACAAGTGATAGTAAACAACCCTGGAGCAACAAGTGATAGTAAACAACCCTGGGGTAACAAGCGACAGTAAACAACCCTGGGGTAACAAGTGACAGTAAGGAAACGTAGGGTAACAAGTGACAGCAATGTACCCTGGGGTTACAAGTAACAGTAACCAACCCTGGGGTAACAAATGACAGTAAACGACCCTGGGGTACCAGTGGCAGTAAACAACCCTGGGGTAACAAATGACAGTAAACGACCCTGGGGTACCAGTGGCAGTAAACAACCCTGGGGTAACAAATGACAGTAAACGACCCTGGGGTACCAGTGGCAATAAACAACCCTGGGGTAACAAGTGACAGTAAGCAACCCTGGGGTAACAAGACAAAGCCAGTAAACAACCCTGGGGTTACAGGTGACAGTAAACAACCCTGAGGTAACAAGACAGTGACAGTAAGCAACCCTGGGGTAACAAGACAGTGACAGTAAGCAACCCTAGGGTAACAAGTGACAGTAAACAACCCTGGGGTAACAAGTGGCAGTAAGCAACCCTGGGGTAACAAGTGACAGCAATCCCTGGGGTAACAAGCCAGTGACAACAACCCTGGGGTAACAAGTGACAAAAACAACCCTGGGGTAACAAGTGACAGTAAGCAACCGTGGGGTAACAAGTGACAGCAATCTACCTGGGGTAACAAGTGACAGTAAGCAACCCTGGGGTAACAAGTGACAGTAAACAACCATGGGGTAACAAATGACAGTAA